GGTCTTTTTTTTTTTTTTTTTTTTTTTTTTCCATAACCACCGCCCTCCCAAAAAAAAAAAAACAAAAAAACAAAAAAAAAACACTGCACCACCATTAACGGTTTCAACATCAGGGTACACCGGTCACCAAGCAGACATTTAAACACATGAACGAGCTGTTGGCGTTTAAAACTCACCTTAAAGTTGCGAACACTCCCTAGAGCCGACTTCTGGACCGTTTCGGAGCCGGGTTGCGAGCTAACTAGCTGTTATTGTTCAAGACAGCTAACCGAATTAGGCGTTACGTTAGCCAGCTAGCTGCCCGGAGCTCGACTGGTCGACCAGCGGTAATTAGGGAACGACTCGGCTGAAACTGCACAAAATATGTGCTTTACTTGGTGTAAACACCAAAAACTAAAACCGATCGAAAATTGACGAAAGAAATACAGAAATAAATAGTTTTAAATTTAGCACTTTGCCAGAGAGCTAGCTTTCTTGTCTCCCAATCAGCTAACTACCCACTACCCCAGCCTATGATCTGGCTTTTTCTTTCACTTCCTTCTCCACAACCACGTCTCGTGTGACGTCAGACGCAGGACAAAAAATATGTAGAGTCCAGCGGATGCAGAAATAATTTTAGAAAATAAAGCTCGCTCTGTTGATCCAAGCATCCACGAACAGTGCATCTTTTAGCTTTCTAATTTATTCCTATAACACAGAATGCACTCAAATTAACACCTTTACGTGTGGAGAAGGTGCCTTTTTTGATATCTACAACACGGTATTGATTGGTCAATTTTTTTTTTCTATTGAGCAATCAAAAATGTGTATACCTTGCATTTTTATTGAAAAATCTATTGGCTTTTTAACCCAGAAAAATGTGGTAGGCATAAATAGGTAACCTACATATAGGTAACCTACATATAGGTAACCTACATTATGACTACTCTCCCCACCAGACTGCAATGTCTTCTAAATGAAATAATATAAACTGAAGGCACATCTCTAACCTCTAAAATTAACATGATTATGACTGTTTGTTTGTTTGTTTGTTTGTTTGTTTTTTCTTATGGGTAGCTTGCATAGGGCTCAACACAGTCTGTCACTTAAGCAATTTCTTTCAGGCCTTTGTACAGGTAACAAGAAGCAGCATTTCCATGATGGAAGAATCAAGATTTTATATTAAAAAAAATAAATAAATAACACACTGACCTTAAAAGTGAATGCAAACACTAGTGTCACTGTCACAAGAAAAATAGAATATGCGGCTATTGTGTTGTGGGAAAGGAGTGATTTTCCAGCCATGAAACTGCTATATTATTGAGTCAAAAATATGTACTTGAACCCAATATTTGTCTAGTGTTTCTTAAGCTGTTTGCAGATGTATTTAGCTATTTATAAATGGTCATTTTCTGTTGAAGACTCACAATGCCATACACTGATGAACTAAGAAAAATAAAGTGACAAAACAAAGTTACTCTCGACCTTTTAAAGCCTGACCCAAATTTCTTAGAAATATGATTTTTTGTATCACATTTGATGCAGCAGGCTTTTCTTTGAACTTTTGGCTCACAACAACATGAGTTTTAGATCCAAAAGCAAATGTTGCCTATAATATTTAGAAAGTGTGGAACACTTTAGGATGTTTTTCTCTTAGTTTTTTTTTCCCACCAACAACTTTTACAGTCCAGTCCTCATCATAATCCTCATCATCTTCTCCTTACTGCTCTATAGTTTGAATTGTCATACATTATCATGATGACTAGTATTTTATTTCTCTCTCTTCTTCCTCTGCTCTTTTTTAAAATCTAAAGCATACAGAACTAATCGATACACCATAAGGATTATGGTTCTAGAACAGCTACTATTGTGACAAAAAACAACCCAAAATTTATTTTGAAATTACATTTAATGGTAATTATTGAGTAAACAAAAGTTTGTGGCTGAATTGTGACTGGTATGACCTTGATTACTTTATAAAAATATAACATTACTGTTCAGTGATAAAGCACCTTAAATACCTGCAGTATCAAATATGACACACACAGTTTTAACACGATTTAAATGTAATATAACAAAAACATTTCTAATTAATTGTGCATTATTTCAAAACATAAAACATTAATTTAAAAAAGAGAATAACAATTCATAAATTATTTTTACTGTAAGTTGTCTAAAATTGTCACTTTCCTGGAAAATGCGAAAAAAAGCTGTTTCTCTGCCTGCAGTGCAATGATAATCCAGTAGATGGCAGAATACAAGCCTCAAATTATATACAATAAGTTGTTTGAGTAAGTATTGGTCATGGTGTAAAAAAAAAAATAAATTACAAATGGCGATATAGAGTTAAAAAAATGCATTAATAATAATAATTTAGATTTTGCATGCACATTGGTCTTTGTTCCTCATCTGAAGGTAACCAATGGAAACTGAAACACAATCACATGAATCTGTGTCACTTTGTGTGCATGGTCAACACACATGCTGAAGCTACAAGCTGAGCTTCATCTGACTGTAGGCACAGCAGCAAACAACACAACATGCAGTCGAGTCAGGACATGTCTGAGTCTTGCAGCGACATATCTGTAAATGTGTGGTAATGATAACAGACAGAAAGCTTCAAACTAGTTTCTTTGTTTCCTCAGAAATCCAGCATGCTTCTTAAGAACTGCTTTCAAAACAAATGGCTTTGCAGTAGCTTTTTCTATCTTACTGGGATTTGTACCAAACTAGATGTGAAGAAGTGTTTTAAAAACCTCCCATAATCAGAAGGGAATAACTGTCCTTAAGTGTCAAAATGAAATTAACACGAGGTAAGGTTGTCCAGTGTAACTTTATTGACTCAACAGACAGAATAATTGTTGTTAGATACACATACTATAGACACTTTAACCAATTCTAGTGCTTTTTACTTATGTGTCTGTGTTTTTAACAGCTAAACACTTGGTGGAAATCCACTCGCATCTTCGAATGAACTGAAGGATCTAAGATCTCCAGCCTGTAGTTCAACACCTGCTGCTTTTCAATCCTCCATGTCATGCAGATTTGGTTTCAGGGTTTTATGTAAGCTGATATGTTATTTCCGCAATCATTGTCCGATTTTAAAACTGGCTTGAAAATTTACCTCTTTAGACAAGCCTTCTCCACTTTTATTTGACAGTCTTTTTTTTAATTGTTTTTGATTGTTGATTTTATGTTTTTAGATGAACCATGTAGCACTTTGAGATTTTTATTAATGAAAAGTGGCTTATAAATTAAATTTATTATTATTATTATTATTATTATTATTATTATTATTATTATTATTATTATTATTATTATTATTATTATTATTATTATTTCCATCCTTAAAGCTGTTATACACAAAAAGGGCTCAAATAGCCACTACATCAGTCCACAATTAGGATGTAAATAAACTATGTTGACATGTACAGTTTTGACAAAGAGATGCTGCTAAAACCATCCTGCTCTTATTTCTGTTAAATCATAACTCCTATTGATCAATTTAGTAACTTTGACGCTGAATTAAATTTGTCTGTTCTTATCTTTACTGTCTGATTTAGTGGTTTGAAAGTGACAAGATCAAACTTATAGAAATCACTGCTCCAACCCTATTTATATTAGAAGTATTACACTTCTGTGTGAGCGTGACGATGGTAGGAGTTTGTCCTGTAACCAGTGGGTTGCTGGATTGAACCCCCGCTCCGTCTCTGTTAGTCGTTGTGTCCTTGGGCAAAACACTTCACCCGCCTTGCCTGCAGATGTTGGTCAGAGGGTCAGTGGCGTCGGTGCATGGCATGCTTGCTTTAGTCAGACTGCCCCAGGGCAGCCCTGGCGACTATTCAGTAAACTGAATGTAGTGTGGAGCGTTTTGGAGTCCTCCGGAGTAGATAAAGTACAGACCATTTACGATGTTTACCATATGTTGGTGATATTCTGCTTAATTCAGTTGTTTTGTTCGTTGCAGTGATTTATCAGCATGGCGAAATGATATTCGCCACTAGAGGTCAGTGTTGGCATGTTTTTGAACGGTTTTGGACTCGCTACATCAACTAATTGATGTAGAAATGTAAATTATACATCAATATTTTTTGACTGAATTTTCCAATGGCCATCATTTATAGATTAAAGATTATTTATGTGCTTAAAATGGTCTAGTCAAAGTTAAGACTTAAATTCAATTTATATTCTGTGAGAGGACTTGAAAACTGATGCTCACAAACTCTAAATAAAATCTCACTTGGTTTCAGCTTTATTGCTTCGATGTGTGGTTCTACAAAGTATTGACTTAGGGCACAGGTGTCGAACTCCAGTCCTGGAGAGCCGCTGCCCTGCAACTTTTAGATGTGCCTCTGCTGCACCACACCTGAATAGAATAATTAGGTCATTAGCAAGGCTCTGGGGAGCTTATCTACACAAGAAGGAGGTAATTAAGCCATTTCATTCCAGTGTTTTGTACCTGTGGCACATATAAAAACTGCAGGACAGTGGCCCTTGAGGACTGGAGTTTGACACCCCTGCCCCGACTCAGGGTATGAATACAAATGATCACCATATTCTTCAGATTTTAGTTGTAAAAACCTTTGCAAACCATGTTTCCTTTCCTTTTTGGTTGTTGACAAATTGTAAAAAATGTCATGGGGGACTTTTGTGAGGTCTTGTGGTTCTCTCAGTGTTTCTCAAATTATTGCAGTCATCTCACTTTTCTCGACAGACAAAATGGTATTAAAAAAATGTGATGAATAATTTCAAAGAAGATAAGACGTGAGCAAGTTTGGACTTTTTAAATGAAACTTTATAAATGTGAGTAGAGTACTTACATAGAGTTAAGGGGAGTGCAAAGCTCTATATAAATTGTGTGATGGAGAAAAGAAGAGAAAAATAAAATAAATGTTGTAAATATATCTGTATGTTGTAGATGCCCAGAAACCTTACCAGGACGAGGTTTTCTGTCTGATGACAAGATTACATGGCACACAGCTGGACTCTGTTTCCTAACCAGGTGACTTCTGAGGGTGAGTGACTACTGCAGTGACTTTAATGTAAAGAGAAGTGAATTCAAATACACATCCAACATGGACAGATCTCCAGTCCATCAAAGAGATGCAGAGGACAAACACAATCACCTTCCACAAACTGACCTAACAGTTACGTTTTGGGACTTCGAGAGGAAGCCGGCGTCCCTGAAAAAAAAAAAAAAAAAACCTTCTCATGCACTGGGAGAGCATGCAAACTCCTTAAAGAGCTCAGGCTGGGATTCAAACCCAATAACACTAACAACTGTGCTATAGGCTGTCACTTATCAAACTCCCACATGCCAATTCAGAGTGTTTTAAACCCAAAGTTTTCTTTTACTTTGTAACAAACATCATATTAAAATTGTAAATTGTTATTTACAATTTTAACATTATGATTCAGTTTCAGTGTTCAGTGATCCATAAGGTTGAGTCCTGTCAGTATGCATTACTCACGTCTGAGTGCACCGCCACATGTTTATCCTCCTTATTACTGGGAGTGTGTCCCTGCAGATGGATAACTCTGGTGTTTGGAGAAGGATTCCTGTCTTCTTTACCTATTCAATGTTGGGTCTTTATGGCTTCTTTGGAATTCAGTTTGCAAACACAAAGCGGCACAAAGGCCACGAGACTTAGGAAGTTGTTCACAGGACGGAAGCAGCTGAGCTGCTAAAGCAACTCCATGATGGCCGGGGTGAAAGGTAGGAGATGTTAGCTCACACATGCTACATGAAACATGTGGAAAATGTGTTCACAGTCATGCTCATTAATAGTTTAAGACAAATCGGTGCAAAAATATTCATAAACATGCATCATGGTGTGTGGCAAAGTGGGAGTGTAAGTTGGGGAGATGAAGAGATGGTGTGTGTGTGTGTGTGTGTGTGTATTGGTATGTGTGTGTGTATGTGTGTGTGTGTTGGGGGTGGGTGCATTGGTCCGTGTCAGAAAGCAAAGTGTGCTGCATTTATCTAGGAATCCGAGCCAAAGTAGCCTCACAAACACAGACCGGGCAGGACTAAGAGAAGGACGAGGAGCGACATGAACTGAGGAACAAAGGCAGAGAGGACAACTGCATGAAACGGGCCAGTGTTACAGAGATCTAAACAAAAAGGATAAAAATGCTAAAACCTCTTGCCTGCAGAGGCACATCTTGGACATAGAAAGAAGAGAAGAAACATTTTCCAGGGAACTGATGACAGGAAAACCCTGCAGCATCTGAACCAAATATTTATTCTCATTTCGAGAGAGACGAAAGAGACCTTCTTTCGTCTCTCTCGTCATGCTCACTCTGCTGTTTCTGTATGTGGGAGCACTGCTGTCCTCATATGCTTCTCCAGCCTGCTTAGATCCACCTTGCCAGGACACGTTAGTGGCTACACCTGCTTCTCCAGGGCCAGGAGCAGCAGTGACTACCAAGGCCAGTGAGGGTCAAGCTGGGACAAGTGTATTCAAATACCAATTGGGTGTATTGGGTGCTTCAGTTCCTGTTGCTTCAGACGATCCTCAAAGGGAGGAGCACAGACTGGATTTCCCTCACACTAGATTGAAAGTAAGTAAGACAGGAGCGAGAAAACGTAATTTTTTTCACTAATCCTGTGAATATGAAATGACTCCATCTTGCTGACGTGTAAAGACTGGACAGACATGAGATCTCTGACTGTACTTTCACATGTACCAGTGAGAGTCGGCGGCGTACGATCAGAGAACAGGCCGGAGATGCTAAACTAGGCGCCGCCAAACAGCTACGGAGAAATAACTGTCGGCGATCAAAGAGGGGATAAAATTAGGAGCGCTTTAAAAATGTCTCGTCATCTGGTGAGCTCATGGTGCAACAGGTGCTGGGGACCTGATCACAATGAGTGACATAAGTATGAGAGACAGAGAACCAAGTTTGGGTTCTCTGTCTCTGTTGGGTTCTCTGTTTTTGAGTTTGGGGATTAATATTTAATATGTAATGTCTTTCTGACTCAGGGACTATATGCATACATCATTTTTCCCCCTGAATTATAATAAACTAAATTACTCACAGGAGGACACTGTTTACTAATTTGTTGACTTCTGAAGGAAATTGTTTGCATTGGGTTTTATTTAGAAGTATCAAACTAACGGGGGCTGAATAAAATTTTTCAGACACTTATTTGCAAAACAATTGGAAAGCAATGAATCATTCATGAATCATCTTTATGACTACTCATTTTACCAGTGGATCTTTATGCATATTTTGTTAGTCTATCACAGAAAATACCAATAAAATTGATTGGAGACTTCAGTTTTTTTAAAGTGATAAAATGGAAAAAGTGCATAAGTGTGTAAACAGTTTAGATAAGTCCTGGAATTCTGCCAAAAATTACAACATTTTTTCAATAACAAGATATAACTCTTATGGTTCAGTTATAATGCTCCCTTGTGATGATTAATTCGAAAATGTGCCTTCATAATTTCACAGATTTCAAACATTTTTGTCCACATTTGTCACCCTAAGGCATTCCCTTACCATGCAACCATACTTTATATTAACCTATCAGTATTGTCTTGCAGAGTGGAGGTGTTGAAGAGCGCCTGGTTCGGCTGCAGAGCTGCATGAGCTCTCTCCAGGAATCAGGAGGCCCCCAGAGTTACAGGGACCAGGAGAGCAGCTCTCTGGGGGCCATCCTGGCCCTGATGGCAGCTGTGCTGACTGAGTGTGACCTCCACTGCCACAGCCAAGCACTTGGAGAGATGGCCAAGCGGCTGGGTGGGTCACACATGTTTGTAACCCCCAAGAAACGCACACATCCACACACACGCACACACACACACACAGGAAATTATGCCAGTGTAGTCACTCCTACTCTGATAGAAAACAATCTGCATCGTGTCAAAGGTGAGTGGATAGGAATTTAATGATGCAAGGAGGCAAAACATATCCAAACTCAGAGATGAGTAGTGTTCCCAAAAAATGTACTCAATTAGGAGTAGCACTATTTTAACACATTTTTACATGAGTAGAACTAAAAAAATAGATGTCCAAGAAATGACTTGAGTAAGAGTTAAAAAAAGGATTTTATAACATGGCTACTTGAGTACAAAGTAACCTCACCACACTACCTCAGATTTTATACTCTGTTTCAATATGTCAGACAGAAAAAAGTATAAAATATATAATGATGTGCAAATTCTGATATTTTAAAGATTGAATAAAAAATATTACAAGTAGATTGTTAGAAAATAGCAAACCCTTCCATGTAAAAAAAAAATATTTCAAGTTAAAACAAATGAAACTACTTACTGTAGGTAGTTTGTGTATATGTGACAACAGGGATGTGCACTTTAGGAGACAATACATATGCTCAGTCTCAGCAGATAGAAAATAATATCAGAATAACAAAGCTTGTGTACAAACAAGAGGTCCTACTTTAACATAAACTCTATCCTTGTCTGGTGCATGTTGGTTAAAACATGTTTGTTGTACTGCATATGGAACTTGGCAGCCATGTTGATAACTTGATGCTGCTGCTCTGGGTTGGTAGAGAGCGCTGCGTTGGGAAGCAGAGAGGGTGAAAAAGACTTGCTGCTTCTCCTAAAGAGCATCACACAGTATTCACCTACAGGTGAGGGAAACATTTGTGTGCATCTCCTGAGAATGGTGGACTAATAAGCTCAATAGAAATGTGTCCTGTGTGGCTTCAGCTGCTCCCATGGAGAGGTTACATCCACAGGATTGTGCAGAGATTTACAGTCTTGGGATCAAAGAGACTGGTATCTACACCATCCAACCTGATCCACACGGACCAGCATTAGAGGTATTTTAATGTACAAAGATCATCAGCAGTAATCTTCGAAAAGCTGAGCGTTATCTGTGGAAAAGCCTTGAATCATGTCAGTCTTTGCTTTGGCCCAGGCTAAATGTGACATGGAGACAGCGGGCGGAGGGTGGACGGTGATCCAGAATCGGCAGGACGGCTCAGAGGACTTTAACAGGACTTGGCAGGAATACCGGGAAGGCTTTGGTAGTCTGCAGGGAGAGCACTGGCTGGGGAACGCAGCACTGCACGCCCTCACCTCCACCGGCCTGCACCAGCTCCGCATTGAGCTGGAGGACTGGTACCAACAGAAGCGCCAGGCGACTTACAGCAACTTCAAGGTGGCCTCAGAAGCGGAAAGGTGCACAGAGAGACACTAGATGCTCTGAATTACCTATGGCAGGAGTAGCAGCTTTTTATTTCAATTGACCAAAAGCTAAACCTGTTTCCTTTTAATCACTAATGCAACTATAAACAAGATGAGACTAAAACTGTATGGAAGAAATCTGGCTGCTTGGATTAAATGAATCAGCAGGTTGTTCTGCTAGATAAAAAAAAAAAAAAAAAAAAAAAAAAAAAAAAAAAAAATTTTTTTTTTTTTGGACAATTTTTAGCAACTCCACGT